GCTGGTACTACTGTGAGTTTTCCGGACCGTTTCCGGACCGCGCGAGCTTATTTTGTTCCCAAATTTGAAATCGAATGCGTTCACGCATGGATCCTCATTATATAATACATAACTTATATTTTATGTATATGATCTGGTCAACGAAGAACAAACCCTTCCGCGATTGCTCACTGTGGTACCGCGGTTGCTACGCGATTGGCTGAGCGATTGAGGGCTGTCCGGGAAAAGGTATTTTGGACAACCCCCATATATATATGTATGATATTTATATATATATATGATATTTATATATATATATGTATATACACATGATACATATAATATATATATATGCAAATAATAAGATATAATAAGATACACGATAGTTTGCTCGTTTTTGGTCGGATCAATCCGAGGGGCGGGGGAGGGGGGTACCCCCCCCCCGCCTCACCAGGAGAAGAATAGTTCTCGCTCCCTGCAATGCTCTAAAGGTGGGGGGAGGGCCCCCCCCCCTCCCCCCTCCTGCGATGCTGTAAAGGTGGGGGGAGGTCCCCCCTCCCCCCCTCCTGCTGCTTCATTGGTGCATCTCCTGCAATTTTTTGGGCACCAGCCGTGCACCGGGACCGAAGTCATGCGAGCTGGACGGTTCTGGACTTTGGTAGTAGTAGTAGTCGTAGTAGTAGTAGTAGTAGTAGTAATAGTAGTAGTAGTAGTGGTGGTGGTGGTAGTACTAGTAGTAATAGTACTAGTAGTAGTAGTAGTAGTAGTAATAATAGTAGTAGTAGTGGTGGTGGTGGTGGTAGTACTAGTACTAATAGTAGTAGTAGTAGTAGTAGCAGTAGTAGTAGTAGTAGGAGGAGTAGGAGTAGGAGTAGGAGTAGGAGTAGGAGTAGGAGTAGTAGTAGTAGTAGCAGTAGCAGTAGCAGTAGCAGTAGCAGTAGTAGTAGTAGTAGTGGTGGTGGTGGTGGTGGTAGTACTAGTAGTAATAGTAGTAGTAGTAGTAGTGGTGGTGGTGGTGGTAGTACTAGTAGTAATAGTAGTAATAGTAGTAGTAGTAGTAGTAGGAGTAGGAGTAGGAGTAGGAGTAGGAGTAGGAGTAGTAGTAGTAGTAGTAGTAGTAGTAGTAGTAGTAGTAGGTAGCAAGGGGCGCCGGTTACAAAATGAAAGCGGGTGGGGGGGTGCAGGGGCGGAGGGCGCACCGCAGCGCCTCCCCCCGCAATGCCGACCAAGAAGCAGCGTATGGGAAACCAAATTCATTGCTGCTGATGGAAAAAAAGCAAACGGAATAGGAGTAGGTTTAGCAAGGGGCGCCAGACTTTACAAAGAAAAAGCGGGTGGGGGGTGCAGGGGGGAGGGCGCAGCGCCTCCCCCCGCAATGCGGACCAAGAAAGAAGCGCATAGGAAACCAAATCATTGATGCTGATGGAAAAAGCAAAAGGAATAGGAGTAGGTAGCAAGGGGCGCCGATTACAAAATAAAAGCGGGTGGGGAGGTGCAGGGGGGAGGGCGCAGCGCCTCCCCCCGCAATGCGTACCAAGAAAGAAGCACGTAGAAACTAGTTTCCATGGATATTGATGAAGATCAAGAAAAATAAGATGAAGTCAAATAAACGATGCTCATGACAAGAAGGAATGAGAGAAGGTAAGAAGGGGAGCCGAATCAAACATAAAAGCGGGTGGGGGGGTGCAGGGGGGAGGGCTGCCGTACCAAGAAAGAAGTACGAAGAAAGAAGCACATAGGAACCCAAATCATTGATGCTGATGGAAAAAGCAAAAGGAATAGGAGTAGGGAGCAAGGGGCGCCGGTTGCAAAATATAAGCGGGTGGGGGGTGCAGGGGGAGGGCATTTCCAAAAACCATGGCAGGCGTGGGACATTAAGATGCATTTCGCGTGGCAGGCGCAGTACAAAAGACATGTTCATGAGAGATGTTAGGAGGTCAGGGCGCTGATTTTGCGTGACAGGGGCAGCACTTCGTAGGTAGGTAGCTAGATAGCTAGATAGCTAGATAGCTAGATAGCTAGCTAGATAGATAGATAGATAGATAGAAGACAGAAGGGGGGGAGGGGGGGGGGACCTCGGAAAGGAATAGTGAGGAATCAGGAGGGGGGGGGGACCTTGGAAAGGAAGAGTAAGGAATAAGGAGGGGGGGGGGGGAGGGCGTGAGGGGCACACGGGTAGCAGGAGGGGGGGGGAGGAGGAAACAAGGAGCGGAACGAAAGGAGGGGAGGGGAAGGTTAGAAAATTTAGAAGAGAAGAACAGATAGAAATAAACAAGGAACAGGCATGGTACCTCATACGTCAAGGAGGGGGGGGGGACCCCCCCCCGAGGAACCTTGAAACGTCAAGGGGGGGGGGAGTGTGATGGACAGTTCCGGCCTATGCGACTTGGACCTTGTAAACGCAACAAACAACAACAACCTTGTTAAAAAAAACAAGAACAACAAGGAGAAATAAGAAACATTAGAACACGGAGGATAGGAAGAAGAACAACAAGAATAGCAACAAGAAAAGCAAGAGGGGTTCGTACAGTAATGGTGAAGGTCCGGCGATCAATCGAGGTGGTATCCGGGGCGTCCGGCATTTTGCATGTAAATTTCCACAAAAAGTGGCAAGGTGCGTGGCAGATGTCGTACTTTAAGCAAGAGCAAGAACAACAACAAGAAAAAACAAGAACAGAAAGAACACGAAGAACAAGAACATGAAGAACGCGTAGAACAATGAACACAAGGAGAACAAGATAAAGAACAATAGCAAGAACAAGAAACAGAACAAGGAACAGGACAAGAACAAGAACAAGAAGAAGAGCACAACCACAAGAACAACACTAAGAACAAGAACTGCAACATCAACAACAAAAAACAACAACAAGAACAAAGTGAAGAACAAAAACAATAACAAGAACAAGAAGTCGAAGAAGAAGAGGAAGAACAACAAAAAGAAGAAGAACACCACAATAACGACGACGACAAGGACGACAACCGCCAACAACAACCACAACAACAACAACAAGAACAAGAACGAAAACAAGAGAAAGAACAGCAAATTCTTGGAAGACCTGGGCGCTAGTCGCTACCCAGAAAGAATTTTGCCGTAACTGTTCAATATCTTGGATGATCTTGAATGCAAGATCTTGTTCGAACAAAATACGAACATCATTGGTGCTGCGGTGTAAGATCTTGCCCTTGGTTTTCAAAAATCTGTGATGCTGCGCTGCAAGACCTTGCTCTTAATCTTTAAACACCTTTGATGCTATTGTGTAAGGTCTTCCCCTTACCTTTCAAACATCCTTGTTGCTATGCTGAAGGGTCTTGCCCTTAACTTTCAATCATCTTGGATGCTACGCTGTAAGATCTTGTTCTTTCAAGCACATTGGATGCTACGCTGTAAGGTCTGGTCCTTAACTTTCAAACATCCCTGTTGCTATGCTGGAAAATTTGGTCCTCAATTTTCAATCATCTTGGATGCCACGCTGTAAGATCCTGACCTGATATTTTAATTATCTTGGATGCTACTGTGTAAGATTTTTGTCCTTACTAAGTCAGATCTTGTCCTTAACTTTCAACCATCTTGGATGACACACTGTAAGACCTGTCCTTAACTTTCAATCATCTTGGGTGCTAGGCTGTCCACAACCTTCAAACATGTTAGGTAATACACTGTAAGTTCTTGTCCTTACCGAACAGGAACAAGAATCACAATAAGAAAAAAAAGGAGAAAGAACAGCAACATCTTGGAAGATCTGGATGCTACACAATCAGATATTGTTCTCAACTCTCAAACAATGTGCATGATCTTGGATGCTACGGAGTAAGACGTCGACCTTAGCGTTCAATTATCTTGGGCGCTACGGTGTGAGATATTTTTCATAATTTCAAATATCTTGGATGCTCCGCTGTAAGAACTTGTCCTTCACTCTCAAACATCTTTGCTGCTACGCTGAAAGATCTTGCGCTTTCAAGCATCTTGGATTCAACGGTGTGAGATCTGGTCCTTAACTTTCAATCATTTTTGATGCTATGCTGTCTGATCGTGTCCTTAGTTTTCAATCATCTTGGGTGCTACGCTGTAAGATCCCGGCCTGGTCTTTCAATCATCTTGGATGCTACCGTGTAAGATCTTGTCCTTAAATTTGAACCATCTTGGCTGCTACGCGGTCAGGCCTTGTACTTTCAATATCTTTCAATACTTTTCAGACCTTTCAACCATCTTGGTTGCTTCGCTGTTAGGCCTCCTTGCCCTTAATTTTCCATCACTCTTGATGCTACCGTGTAAGATCGTGCCCTGAACTTTCAATCATCTTGGATGCCCACCTTCCCCCGTCCCCCCTGCGTGTCCGTTGGTGTGCGGCGTTCCCCTTACGATGGTCGTGTGCGCTCCCCTTGTAAAAACAATAATTAATCAACAGCAACCTTGTAAAAACAACAAGAGCAAGAAAAAAGAAACATTAGAACACGAAGGATAGGAACCAGAACAACAAGAATAAGCAAGAGGGGTTCGTACGATAATGGTGAAGGTCCGGCGATCAATCGAGGTGGTATCCGGGGCGTCCGGCAATTTGCATGTAAATTTCCACAAAAAGTGGCAAGGTGCGTGGCAGATGTCGTGACCAAACCTTGCAACAATTACTTTAAGCAAGAGCAAGAACAACAACAAGAAAACACAAGAACAGAAAGAACACGAAGAACAAGAACAAGAAGAACACGTAGAACAATGAACACAAGGAGAACAAGATAAAGAACAAGAAACAGAACAAGGAACAGGACAAGAACAAGAACAAGAAGAAGAGCACAACCACAAGAACAAAACTAAGAACAAGAACTGCAACATCAACAACAAAAACAAAAACAAACACAAAGTGAAGAACAAAAGCAAGAACAACATCAATAACAACAACAAGAAGTCGAAGAAGAAGAAGAAGAAGGAAAAAAAAAAGAAGAAGAACAAAAAGAAGAAGAACACCACAATGACGACGACGACAAGGACGACAACAACAACAACACCAACACCACCACAACCATCACAACCACCACAATCACCAAGACGACAGCAGCAGCAGCAACAACAACAACAACAACAAGAACAAGAACGAAAACAAGAGAAAGAACAGCAAATTCTTGGAAGACCTGGGCGCTAGCCGCTACCCAAAAAGAATTTTGCCGTAACTGTTCAATATCTTGGATGATCTTAAATGCAAGATCTTGTTCGAACAAAATACGAACATCATTGGTGCTGCGGTGTAAGATCTTGCCCTTGGTTTTCAAAAATCTGTGATGCTGCGCTGCAAGACCTTGCTCTTAATCTTCAAACACCTTTGATGCTACTGTGTAAGGTCTTCTCCTTACCTTTCAAACATCCTTGTTGCTATGCTGAAGGGTCTTGCCCTTAATTTTCAATCATCTTGGATGCTACGCTGTAAGATCTTGTTCTTTCAAGCACATTGGATGCTACGCTGTAAGGTCTGGTCCTTACCTTTCAAACATCCCTGTTGCTATGCTGGAAAGTTTGGTCCTCAACTTTCAATCATTTGGATGCCACGCTGTAAGATCCTGGCCTGATATTTTAATCATCTTGGATGCTATTGTGTAAGATCTTGTCCTTACTAAGTCAGATCTTGTCCTTAACTTTCAACCATCTTGGATGACACACTGTAAGATCTGTCCTTAACTTTCAATCATCTTGGGTGCTAGGCTGTCCACAACCTTCAAACATGTTAGGTGATACGCTGTAAGGTCTTGTCCACAAAAATCGCAATAACAAGAAGAGCAGAAAGAACAGCAACATCTTGGAAGATCTGGATGCTACATAAACAGATATTGTTCTCAACTCTCAAACAATGTACGTGATCTTGGATGCTACGGAGTAAGACGTCGACCTTAGCATTCAATCATTTTGGGCGCTACGGTGTGAGATCTTTTCCATAATTTCAATTACCTTGGATACTCCGCTGTAAGAACTTGTCCTTCACTCTCAAACATCTTTGCTGCTACGCTGAAAGATCTTATACTTTCAAGCATCTTGGATTCAACGGTGTAAGATCTGGTCCTTAACTTTCAACCATTTTTGATGCTATGTTGTCTGATCGCGTCCTTAGTTTTCAATCATCTTGGGCGCTATGCTGTTGTAAGCTCCCCGCCTTGGATGTTACCGTGTAAGATCTTGTAATCTTGTCCTCAACTTGAACCATCTTGGCTGCTATACGCGTCAGGCCTTGTATATCTTGTACTTTTCAATATCTGTCTTGGCTGCTACGCAGACCGCGCGGATCACGCGGACCACGCGCACCACGGGCACCACGCGGACCAGGCGCACCACGCGAACCACGCGGACCACGCGGACCACGCGGACCCCGCGGACCATGCGGACCACGCGGACCACGCGCACCACACACGCACCACGCGGACGACGCCGACCACGCGCACCACGCCGACCACGCGAACCACGCGCACCGCGCACCACCACGCACCACGCGCGACCACGCGACCACCACGCGGACCAACACCACGCGCACACGCGGACCACGCGCCACCACCACGCGCACCACGCGGACCACGCGGACCACGGGACCAGCGGACCACGCGCGCGCCACGCGAACCACGCGGACCACGCGCGCCACCACGCCACGCCACCGGACCACGCGCCACGCCACGCACCCGCGCCCCACGCACGACGACCACGCGGACGCACGCACCACGCGGACCACGCGCACCACGCGCACCACGCGCACCACGCGCACCACGCGGACCACGCGCACCACGCGCACCACGCGGACCACGCGGACCACGCGGACCACGCGCACCACGCAGACATACGCAGACCACGCGGACCGCGCGCACCGCGCGCACGGACCACGCGGACCATGCATGCGGACGCGGCGCAGCGCGCCGCCTCGCTAAGCCAGGCGCACCATTTTCCTTTACGCGATGCACGCAGCATGCTTCTCTATGACAATGCCGTCTTGGAGCAGGTTTGCATGTGGTACAATTGTAAAATATATTGTGCACAAAGGACAGCGTCACATAGGCCAGAGCCGTCCAAGCCACGGGGGGGGGAACCCCCCCCCAAGGACCTTGAAATCAATCCGACCGCCTAATGGCGAACTCTCAGATATACCAAAAATAACGAAAAATGTATGTTGGGTTTCCACTCCACATGCACCGCCATGTCCGCCTCTGTGCCAGGAGTTTCCCATCCCAGGCGACATCATCAGAGCGCTGCCGCCATCAGTCAAGCTGATTGCCGAGGCCACGACAGAAACAACCACAACGGGTAAATCCATTGCAGTTATATTATTATAGGGCTATTAATATTATTGGTATATATAATATGTATTGGATACATATTACTGCAGTGTATATTATTGGTATATGGCTATGGATTTGGCATATTGGTATATCGTTGGTCTATATTGTCGAAAGCTGATAAATTCGAATACATTTAGAGTTTTTAGGGGATGAACATCAATTTTTCTCGGCAATTTTGAGTGGTATGTTATTGGTATATTGTGGCATATTGTGGCATATTATGTACTGTATGGCTATGGATCAAAGCTTGTGTTTTACCATCTCGGAGGGGAACGAATCTGCGAACACCAGCTGGTGTTCACCAGGGTTTGGACTGAGATTGAGCTGGATAGAAAGTTGGCTGAAGCCGGAGATACTTTCTGTCTTTCATGGTGTTTTGTGATTTTTTACACAATCAAAATGTGAAAAAACATGATGCAGCACCATGATGTGTTGAATGTTCTTGACATGAATGATTTGCTGTGACTGCGACCATCTGTGACCCATGGTCAACATCTTGGGTTCTCCAGTTCTGGAGCGCTTTTGAAAAGTGTGTGTTGAAGCATGCTTTTGATCAGTCAAATCGCCAAGAATCTTTTCCGCCTTTGCCCAACATGTTTCCATATGTTTCCTGAAAAATCCGCTTGCCGGCAACATGTGAACCTATTTTTTCGCCTATATTGCATATCCCCTATTTTTTTCGGCCCTTTAAAATGACGTCCGGTCCTTTTCTTTTCACTGCCCGTTTATGAGGCGGGCACGGGCTACAACAACATCGACTTGGAGGCCTGTCGTGAGAAGGGCATTGCCATTTGTAACGTCCCGGAGTACACTACAGAGGCGATGGGCGACTATGCCATCACACTGGTCATGGCGCTGAGTTGTTCCTTAGCACCACAGATGAAGGCCTTGGCCAAGGGGGATAGGACTTATATGCATCAGTGCCACTTGGGACACTTGGATCATTTCGAGATCCGGGGCAAGACTTATGGCATCATTGGTGGTTTGGGATACATTGCTTCCAACATCTCCAAGAAGGCGTTGGGTCTGGGCATGAAGGTCATTGTCTCGGATATGCCATCGACACCTCTGGGCATGCGCGACACTGGTGTGGAGGTGGTTTCTTTTGATGACCTGCTGCAGCAGTCGGATTTCATTAGCCCAATGGTCCCACTGAACAAACACACCGTAGGCAGGGCTGCTCAGTCAGGCTGCTCCACGCCTGAAATAAAACCATTATCTCCTGGTACCAGGTATCTATTTAATTCTAGTTACCCTTCATTTGGCCGTTTTACCATTTTTTTCTGTGCTATTTGGAACCCTGTTTCAGGTCTGCTAAATGCCGAATGCTTCGACAAGATGAAGCCTACGGCATATGTCATCAACACAGCCCGTGGCCCCATCGTTGATCAAGCTGCCCTCATTGATGCTCTCCGCAAGAAGAAGATTGCTGGTGCCGCCCTGGATGTTTTCGGAGAGGGTTCCGCCCCACCCCCTCCACTTCCGGATGACAGTCCGCTTTATGATGTTTTCAATGAGTTTGAGAATGTGATTTTGACTCCACACATTGGCTGGCAACGTGTTGAAGCACGTCAGCGAGTGGTGGATGGCTGCGGCGATAACATCGCCAAGTTCACTCGGGGAGAGGCAATGAATATCGACATGAACACTGGCCTACCAATCAGGTGATCCGTGAGAAACACAGATCGAGGCCAAACATTGATGATCAGTGATTTTCAGCGGACGTGATTTCAAACGCCGCAATAAACCAACACATCAGTTTTCCCCCTTTAAAATGTGCACATGATCCCTCCAATGTATGAGTGATTCACGTGCGCGCAACAGATCAACACGATTAAAACCGCATCAAGCTGTGCCAGTATTGTCAGGGTGCGTGTGTGTCCTTGATGTACAACAGATCAAAACAGGTTCCTGATAATACAGAAATGAAATACATAAAGATATAGATGAGATACTGGTTCCTATTGGTTCCTATTGGTTCCTATTGGTTCCTATTGGAGGTTTCTACTTCACAGAAATGATGAGATCCTCCGATCCTCGGTTTTCTCTCAAACATGAAAATGGAACCTGGCAGCCAAGGTCAGCAGCACTTCAACGCCATGCACTCAGATTCCATGGATGTCACGGTGACGACGTGCATGGGAAATGAGTCGCCAATGACGAATTCTTGAGGAGTTGCAAGTGAACAAAAAAACCTGCGACAAACCTGGCTATTGGGATGTCAGCTGATTCAGAGTTGCAAAACCCAGGAGCACAAGCATCACATCAAGTAGTACGGTTTCCAGTATCTTGGCCTGATGCCGGATGCCTGATGTTTCCAGCAATTTGTGAGAATCTAAATTCCTCTCCATACGGTTGTCGAACTTTATATTAGGATGTATATATGGACCTATATGGACCATATGGATGTATTTGGAGAATTGCACGAAAATCCAAGCCATCAAAGTGATGTGATACAAACATTTCATATCATTTCATCATGATCATCCGCTTCCAAAAAGATGCCACAACTGATTTGGGTTACAGCTGCTACTGCTGCTACAGCTGCTACAGCTACAGCTCGAGCCATGACACAGGTTCCACCACCACCTCTACTTCCAGCGTTTCAACGACATCCAGTAGCTCCACCTCAACCAGCTCGACATCCAGCACCAGCAGCAGCACAAGTTCCAGCTTCACGATGACGTCCACGTTCTTCGACCCAAGTGACTTGGTAAATGCCTTGATGCCAGTGACTGAAGGACATGAAAAGATGTGAAAAGATGTGAAAAGATGTGAAAAGATGTGAAAAGATGTGAAAAGATGTGAACAGGATCGAAGAAATATTGCTAATGGATGCTAATGGATGCTAATATGATATAGATTCTGCATGATTCTGCTAGATGTGATGCTGTAGACTCTTGTATGTTTGCATGGTCACGACTTTTTTTGCAACTCTGTTTCACAAGCTTTGCAGAAGTCTTCTGCAGCGTGCCAGCAGAAATCACCCGAATTCTCTGACGCGTACGCGTCGTGCTGCTACAATGTAAGGTTGGTTCAATCCATTCCAAGCAGGGTATCCACAGAAGCAGCAATGACTCTGGCATAGAGAAGCCAATTTTGATTATGGAATCTACGGCTATTCAACTCAGCCTTAAAACATCTTAAAACGGTGCATATTGATTCAATATTGTAGTAATCCAAACCGTTCTAGTATAATTATATAATAATAGATATATACAATATTCACTCACTTATCAACCCCCCTTTGTCACCTTCGCCAAGATGCTTCGGATGGTGTCAACATCAGCCAGTTTGAAATTTGTGTGGCGGCATGCAAGGCCGAAATCCAGCCGAGCACTTGCGGAGCCAAAGTTCTTCAGATATCCACTTTTGAAGAACATGTAAATAACAGTTTGAATACAGTTTAACTCAAGCACATTTACTTGGGTACCAGTACCGATGCAAGAACATGAATCACAGACATGCTAGCCTGTTTCCGTCCATTTGATACAAGCCTCTGTTTCGTATCCCAGTCAGAGGAAGCTTTGGCCGCTGCCTACAACTCGTCTTTTGCGAATTTGAGCCACGAACTCAGTGGCAGCCGGGCAGCTTCCGTTCAGCCGCAGTCATCACGGCTGCAGCCGCGAGGTGCAAATCTCACCGTTCAGCTGGCAGCAGATTGCTTCAGGCGATGCACTGTCAGAGATCTCAGGAACCGAACGATGTGAGAGAAACGAGATGAAACGAATGTGTCATCTGCAAGAAAGCACCTACTGTAAGTGGTTGGTGATTCCAAGACTTTGACTCCAAACATCTCAGAGGCCTTAAATGAATTTAAATGAATTTAAATGATCTGTTGAGGTTTCACCCGGTTCAACCGTACCTGGAACCTCTTCAACCGTGCGTGTGTTATGTCCGAGATCAATGGGACCATCTCAGTCCTGCAGACGGATCAAAGGTGGAACCGCTGGGACCGTCGTGAATGATTTGATATGGTTTGATGATTCAGAATAGCACAAGATATCATAAAAATATCATAAAATTGTAAATGTGATGATTCAACATAAATGATCATTGAAAAGACATTTGATGATGATTTGACGTGATATCTACGGTTGTTAAATTTTGATGTGAACTCAGCTCCGTAAGAATTCACCAGGTACTGTGACATCCTGGACGTGACGCTGCTGCGGATGTCGCATTGTCCCCTCGACGCTGGCGTGCACAGCGTCATGGTGAAACCCACATCACTGGGATTCGCAGATCGTGCCAGCAGGCGCAAGCAGCTGGTTTACCTGGGGTTGCTCAAAACTCTGAAATCTTGAAATGTCTGTCAGTCTATCCATTTTAACAGGGAAAAGTATGACTAAGCCTATGATTTTCAGCAGCCAAAGCTGGGTAAAGTGAGTTCAATAAAGGAGACAGCATCCCCTTTCCCATGGGAATCTGATGAGTCTGATGCATTGATCCCCACCTGGTACTGCCTTCACCATGGCTGTATGGCGGTTGTGGATGCTGCATCCATTGCGCAACAACTTTGCAGAATTTTACAACAAATCTTGACGCCAGGAGCAAAGCAGACTTCCATATCACGCTTGGAACTCAGAACTCAGCCTCGCAAACAATGGTGAGTTCATGCGAGTTCCTCCCTCTACAAAACAGGGCTTGTCTGACTTGTTGGTGTCCTGAATGTCATCCTGGTTGTCAGCGATGTCGTTGACTAGGAATGGATGCTTTCCTTTGGTCCTGCTAGGATGTATCCATACTACTGCAACTTGAAAACCGGGAAGACAATCAGACAAGAAAGAAAATTGGGATGGTCACTGGGAATAAATAGGCAACAAAATAGGCACGAAAATAGCGAAGAAAATTTACAGACTGACGCAGCAAATATCAGCAGGTGATTTGAGAACGACCCCGGCCTGGCAAGGCAAGAGCTTCGAACATTCGACATGGAGCCATACGGTGCCATGGCAGCTGGTGGAAAGGCGCCATCAATGGGTGATGGATGGTGATGGTGAGATGCCATGTTAATAGAATTGGATTATGGGAAAATTTTAACCGGAAAGCCCTATATTTGATGGTAAAAACCATGGTTTGCTGTAATTTTTCCCTTAAACCAATCCAGTGACATGCTCCATGCTGAAACATCTGAAACCGACGCTGCATAGGAGGTGACGATTCGTGGTGTTGGCTTTGCAACAGATCTGAAGAAGGCCGGGCACAAGCAGGAACTATGGCAACTATGATCCACCATGATCCACCTGCGGGGCAAAGTTGGGCAGCAAAAATATGGTGATGAACAATGTGATTCATACTTGTAGTTTACTTATAGACTAATAGATTTACTTAGTAAAGTTGACCGAAAATGATGCTTCTTTGGATCATGTTGGATACATTCTGAGCCCCGACTCTTGAAACAAACGATCTTCGGTGGCCTCACTGCAGTCACTGCACACCTGTCCAGATCCACGTGGGCTTCGAAGACATCGGAAATTGTGAGGCAAAAGCCAAAGCGGATCCGGGTACCGATGCAGATATGGGTATGGGTCAATACCTATTATACCATTTTTTTAGTGGGATGAACATCCATTTACCAGCTATTTTGATGTTCACCAGGGGTACAAGGTTTTGACACACTGCCATATATCAGTGACTCAGAAAATGAGGGAACATTCAACCATAAGTAATGTATATTCATGTCAATTGCTCTACATTTTGGAGTTGATATGGATGCCTTCGGATGCCTTCGGATGCCTTCGGATGCCTTCTGGGTCACTTTGTGTTACCGCTGAGGTGCTCGAGGCCACACCGCGAGAGCTGAAATGCATCACGCCACACATCAGTGGCTGGCGATTCCAACAGCTTTGGAACGGATCAGCCAAGAGCTTCGCACACAGTCAGCAGCCCAGCGATGCCCAGCGATGCCCAGCTATGCCCAGCTCGGCCACTGACGGGAATTTCAACATATTTCAACAGATTTCAACTCTGTCATCCGGGCTTCCGGATGCAACATGTTGATGTTTTTTCTTAATGTTGGCAAATTGTGGGACGATGTCCGACGTCGTCCGCAGCTCACAGGTGATGGCACGCTGGTCATCTCAGTTGGCGTGCATGTGGTGGCCAGTTGCTCAGATTCCCACTGGATGAAGATGATGAAGGCAGCCAATTTACAGGAAAATGGGGCACGCAAATCCATGGTTGTGATGGAAAACAATATGAAAAAACACATGGTTTCCTGGTTGGTGGTTTGGAACCATGGAAATTTGATGACTTTCCATTGGGAATATTCATCCCAACTGACGAACTCATATTTTTCAGAGGGGTAGGTATACCACCAATTAGTTTCCCTTCAGTTTTCTTGAAATGCATTGAAATCGATTGGATTCGAAAGTCCGCCAAGGGCAGATGTTTTGCCAAGGTGGGTGACCTGGTTCCATGGCTCTACGGTTCCTACATGCGATGCCAAGGGCATGAGGGCAAGGAGGACTGATGTTAATGGATGTTAATTGGATGTTAATTGGATGTTAATGGTTTGCAAAATCTTAGAAGTGGCAGCATATGACAACATATATCAACATATTAATAATCAATATTAATAAATTTTAATCAATATAATGATATCATAATGTCAACATTCTATTGTTCGATGGGTTTTTTTGCCATGTCTTTAATTTCTATGAAAAAAATTGTCGCCAGGAACGCTTCGAGGCGATGTCTTTGGAAGACTGCGCGCAGCGCTGTGCGGGGGCCCATTTAGCAAAACCCACCCGGCTGGGATCCGTGGGATGGGAATCTGGTGCTGTTTTTGTGGTAGCCTCTGGTTTCATGAAAATATGGCACCTGTAGCTATTGAAAATATGATAATTTATATGGCACAACTGCCTTTACTTCGTTGATTTGTTGCGTGTTTTTTAGGATGGTGATTTGGTGTGCTATATGTTTACCAGAGGGTACCTTGCAATAGCTTGCAGGCATCTCTCTCTTCGCCAGCAAGCAATGTACCGCTTTCTCCTACGGCTTCCGCGGACGTCCCTGTGGCTGCAGTTTCGCCAAAAAATCTTTGCTTCACAGGATGCCGCCGCCAGGGGCCCTTGGGCAGGGGCAAGCCGCAACCCGAGGCTCTGCTCACGTTTGTTCCATGATCTCGGATCCTTTCGGATGCTGGTCCTTGGTTTCAATCTCAGTCCCGTTGGCCCTTGTGGGCAGATGGAAGATGATGGAAGGTGGCAAGATATGGCAAGATCCTGACGGAAACAGATCTGACCACGGAAACAGAAAACGACCAGAGGAATGTGTTTCTTTGAGATGTGTTTTGCAATTCAGCGATTCGGCAATTCGATCTTCAAAATTTAAGAACATAACATTTTGAACTCTTTTCACCGATCCATAATTGATATCAATTGATTTCAGGTGCCGGACCCCGAATTTGATGCCTACACCATCCGTGACGCTGAGAGCAATCACTCTGGTCCGGTGGGTCGCCCAGAGAGCCGTAGGCAGTGGCATGAGAAAGGCACCTAGTGATCTCCTCTTGGAACAAATGGGCTTTGTTCTGAAAATGGAGAAATTCCATGGCTATCACCAAAATCATCCAAATTCCAATGGTTTATCATGGCTTATAACATCTTATAACTATAATTATAACTATAATAGTTTATCATCATGTTTCCCATTAGAAATATGAAAAGATATGAAAAGTGTAGCCCAGATCCCCATTTTTTGTGTCCATTTCGGCACTCGATGGGTGGAGCAGATCTTGGAGCAACGCGAGGCCGAGTGGCCCTTGATGGAGCCGACAACCACCACGGTGACAGCGAATGCCTCACCATGGATGCCATGGATGCCATGGAGATTATGATGATTGGATACTATTGGCATATTATCCAAAAATTCATGATTATTATCCAATATTATCAATAAATCTATTGGATAATCCATGATGATCTAATTTTGGATTATTTATTGATATTATTGGATTATGACATATTATGACACATATTATGACATATTATGTGTCAAAGGGAACTGAACACTAGGACACTTGTGATGTACATGCTTAACTGTACATCTGGACGCCGTACTGGCTCAAGTCCGTGTGCGAGGAAAAGGGTCCGAGCTGCGCTTGCCATGCACCATCAGTGTCCGGCAATACTGGCATAACAGGTATCGCAATTGATAACTACATCCAGAACAAGGATTCATTTGTTCACAGGTTATCAGCCGTAGGGCTCTCACCTCTCCCGCCGGGAGAGTGGTACCTGCGTGCTGGTAGCCGGGCCTTCTGAGCAATTGATTGAGGACGCAAAGGACCAATCAGCTCACCATCGCAAAGATGCAAGGCGGCAGCGGAGATTCGCGCACCACGCAGTTTACCTTCAATGAGAACGCTGCTATGCCGGTCGAGGAGGTCAATCAATCTTCCCCTGGCGACACGGCAGACAGTGGCGGGATACGCTCTACCCGAACTACACAGTCCGGATGGCAAGTCACATCAAACAGACGAAGAATATCCACCCAAAGTACACCTAGATCTTCTCGAAACAGTGCTCGGAGTGATGTTGTCCGCCAAGGGCATCGACCATCTCGAGGACGTACTACTCCAAGGGACAGATCCACCAGGGCCGTGACCGACCGAATTGATGAGAGGACCGGGGATAGTCGTGTTAAGAGGAGATCAACGGATACTTCTGTGGCTAGTGAACCTATTGCCATGATAGAAGAACTACGGGCACAATGTCAATCCCTACGTAATCAGCTGAACAACATGGAAGCATACGCTGCATCCAGGGATCAACTGATTCATGACATCGAGATCAGGTTCACTGAGTATCTTCGGGAACACAATCAGAATGTATTTGATGAGGTCAATGCACTCAATCATAGATTGTCATGTTCCGCAAATGAGGTTGCAGAATATCAAGCAGAACTAATGGTAGCATCTCAGGAAGACGAAGGTGCAACAATACGCATCCAAGACCTTGAACGCCGAGGTGCCCTAATGGAACATGGTGCACGACGGATCCATCAACGTGGTATGGAGATCCAGGAGGAGTACAAGGATGAAGTACATCACCTTCAAGGACTACTGGGTAATACGGAGGCAAGACTACAACAACTTCATCAAACCAATGTCTTAACCACCGATATTGCCAATCGACTATACAATGAAGGTCAAGAAATGCAAAATGATTTCCAGAACTCAATCATGGAATATCGTAATCGATCTGAAATGGCATCCTCCTCTAGTAATCAACTTGAAGTGATTAGCCAGCAACAATCAATTGCAGTTCATGAATTATCTGAGCGAAATCAGCTATTGAGTGAAGCCTTGGTTCAGTCTCGTAAACAGGCCGAGCTGTATGAGAGCAGTATTGATGAGATCACTAGAGAGTCTAGGAAGAAGGTGTTCGAGGCAAATCAGGCCAAATTGGAAAGTGATCTGAAGCATCGAAACACTGAACATGATACCGTCAAAAGAATTGCATCATACAGGAACCAAGAGGCCGAAGCAATATCTCACCTGAGGCTTGAATCACAGGCTAGTGCAAACTCGATCGCAAGGGCAGAGCACTATGAAGAGCTCTATGCCAACGAGCAGAAGATGAACTGCGAATTGAAGGATGAGATCAAGTTGCAGAATACGAAGTTACGAAGATCGTTGACTCAGGGTTCTACGACCGACGGTCGTGGCCCCGAAGAGATGCTTGTTGAAGATCTACGTAATCAAGCTAAGATCGCTCAAATCAGGGTTCAGGATCTAGATCATGAAGTTCACGAATGCTTACAAGAGAACTTGTTGTTAAAAGAAAGATTGGCTGAAGTTGCGGATGTAGGGGCGTCGTCCCTCACCAATGCTGAGGTCCGAACTCTAAGATCTGAACTAGAGAGTGAGCGAAAATTGAAATTGGCGAGTGGTGTTCAACAATATGAGAGATCATGCATGTTCATGGGGGAAATCCAGGATAGGGATGAAAAGATTGGCATCAAGAATTCTGAGATTGTTGACATGAAACGTCACTTAGATGAACTGAGAAAAAGTCTCAAGGATTCTGAAACATCTATGGCTAGGATCAGTCCTGACACACTTCCCTATTCGGCAGGCATTCCCAACTCCGATCTCGCATCCAGACTGGTCATCGACAAACTGGAGAATGACGTGAGTGAGGCTAACTGTGAAAACGCTATTCTGAAATCTTGGGTTTCGCAGATCGACAAGGAGTTGACTTATGAGACAAATGTGGCTCATTCCTATCGTGGGCATGCTGTACCTCCTCAACAACCACAGCATTCTCAATCAAGCAAAAGAATCGCTGATCTACTGAAAGAGGTTGACAACAAGATCGCTGGCGGAACTGAGAGGGAATACTACAGGCCACCGAGTGGATGGGGCGGTCCGCCTGACCCTGATGGACCTCCGGACCCTTTTGGGCCTAACGGTCCAGGACCACCTCCTGAACCTCCTGGTTTGCCATCGGTTCGAGGATCACAACGCGATTCAGCAGATGATGTCTCCACAGCGGCTTACACTGCGGAAGAAGTACCAAGAATGTCAAGACGAGAGGCTGACAAAGTCTATGTTAGCCCATGGCCAAAGCAACAGAATCTTGGGGTTTGGCAATCAGATCTCATCAAGAGTGTTGTTCTTTCGGCAAATGACGGGGATAAAGCCGCATGGGAGGCATGGCTACAGCCGGCTATTCGACCAAATCCTGACATCGAGCTGTTGAATGACAGTGGGGGGCAACGGTATCAGTCCATTGACGCCAAGTTGTCAATTGCATTGTCAAACGTGATAGCCCAAGCCGGTGGTGTTGCTCGTCATGTAGCGATCAAATTGAGATTGAGAACACAAAGTCATAGCCGAAGAGGAACCTATGTCATGGGACGGGAAATCTTGGCTTTGATTCTGGAGCACTTCAGGACCCCAGGTCAACGAGAAACATCCTTCACCATGGAGCACATCGTATCGATGAAGTATCTCGGTGACTCGAACCTAGAAGTGTTCTACGAGAAATGGATGGAGATGGTATCAAACATGATGCCGGATGACGTACCTCCTGATGATTGGCTTCGTGACGCTCTATACAAGAAGATTCGAAATTCGAGTCTTATGATGTTTGACATCAAGCAGTACGAGTCATGGATGGAAGGAGACCAAAGACGAAATTATCGCTACCTGTTGGATGTCATCGAAAGGCACATCTCCAGAATCAGAGAGGACAAGCATGTGGCAGCCAGAGAGAAGTATGCGAGAGACTTTGCAGGCGGCGGCAAACCTTCAGCTCCTGCTCCGAACCCAACTGCCGCTGCACCGGATGCAAATCCAAAAGCGAAGCCTAAAGCTACTCCCAAGGAGAAGGCAGCGCCCAAGGCGAAGGCCAAGGCCGATGCAGCTCCAGTTCTACCATCACCTCAGCCTAAACAGCATGCAAAAGGAAAAGGAAAAGGTCAAGGGAAAGGGAAGGATCGAGCAAACAACCGAAGTACCAGCCCCAGATCCAAGAAGAAGATCCCATGCCATTTCCATTTCATCAAGAAAGCATGCAGAAAAGGCAAGGATTGTGAATACAGTCACGACCAAAAGGTATTTGATGCGAACAAGAATGCAAAAGGCAACGGTCGGAAGCCAGGAACTCCAAGAAGTCAGTCTCCGGCAAACAAGACCAAGAAGATTGATGAACCATGCTGGCATTGGGCTAAGGGCAAGTGTCGGTATGGAGACAAATGCAACAAACGCCACGATCCTCATCTATTCAACACTGCTCCAAACACTGAAGCACCAAGCTCAAAGGCTACTCCTGCACTTATCCATGATTGGAGTGATGATGAAGGGACGTTCCATAAGGTTGCATCGAACGTGATCAAGAAGAAGACCAGATTCGATGAGTCTAAAACTCAAGTTCAAACTTACGTGAAGAAGGACTTCGTGAAGTGCAGCCGGAAATCCCAAACCATCCCCAAAGGTCATGGTAAAGTTGGCAAGCCCACTGAACAGATAAGGAAAGATGAACAATGGTCTTATTCATGCAGGTTAGCTTCGAGCCGAGGGAAAGCAATGGCTATTCTGATCGATGAGAAGGGTGAACACAGTGACATTGATGAAGTCCTGGTCATAGTCGGCCCTAGCATGGACATCCTGATCAGACTCGACGTCGAGGACGGTGAGGTGTCCAGGGAAGTGTTTGTGGAAAACTATGTTCAGCATATTGAAGGTCGATATGGTAAAAGGGGCAACACAATGTGTATCACCGTTCCTGTTGAAGAGAGAGATAAGAGATTCATATTGGATTCTGGAAGTGGCCATGATCTCATTTCATCCACACGGATAAGTAGAATGGATCTCCCAACATACGATGACAAGGTCGTCAACTTCCATACAGCAAATGGGGTAACGTGTTCGACCAAACGTTCAAACATCAAGTTCGAGGCATTTAGCGAACCAGCAGAAGCTCACATCTTGGAGGACACACCCT